TCACAGGAATATGGAATTTCAAATTAAATTCACTTTGGTTTGTAAAAATAAGAACTATATCCCAATTGTTGGCTTGTTTCTAGCCGCATTTTCCATATTAAATTTGTCTAATGTGACATTTAAGATTCCCGATGGAGCTTCCCAATATATCAAAGAGTGCTACATGTTTTATTACTCCAAAAACCAAACACTCAGGTCGGACAACTAAAACTTAACGAAACGAATTGAGCGGAGCAGTATAGTCGGACGGAGCCGACCATAAGATACCCTACACAACTACCACTGAACTGGGCAATATTTCGCGATAATTGTATCCTCTTGAGGGATTAGAGGTCTCTATATATTTTCCCGTAGTGAATATTTCTGTTCATTTGACCCTCTATATATTGAACGATCTCCTTCCCCGTGTAAAATTCATGATGTTGTCTCTCTGTATAAACTGGAAACACAAACAAAAATAATGTTTTCGATCCATTTCATCCCGTAAATATAATCTGATATCTACTAAAAACAATAGGTGTCGATCTCGACCCCAAAATCTTCAAATAGTAGATTCACCTTGTACCGGTCTTGAAAGTGCAAAAGCCCTACTACAGGTGTTGTATATATAAAATAAATTCTGTATAAATAGGACCCTTTCTGTTGTCTTCTACAATAGATTTATAAAAGGCGTTTTTTCTGACTTTTAATTTTCCTTCAGATAAAACTAACTCACTTAACTTCGACAATTTTTAAAAATCTTCTTCATAAGAATTTAATTCATCCTCCGAAGATAGGGAGTATTTAGGTGCATTCCCTATTTTCGGTCGATCAGACAAAAATTGGCTGAGATATGAGTGTTATTTATGCAAAGATACAAACTACGAACAAATTTTCCTTAAAAAAGTATTTTTCAAAGCGGGATTCGGTCTTTATATGTTTTTGTAGCATTATTTTACACATACAAACATTGTCTTAAAGCGAGAGACTATTTTGACGGATTTATATGGCGAAGCTATCAATTTTTTTATATTAAAATCAAAATTAAGCAGTCCACCATTATTAATGGATAGTTTCTGATTTTGTTTCGCTAAAGGACATGCTTATTAGGTTCAATAATAAACTTATAATCATTTCCTTACACAAATATATGTTGATCGGTTTGATTGTTTTCGAACTATAGTGGCAAACCGCTTCAGTAAAAACTGTGTTTCGTAGTCGGACAAAAAATCCGAAATAGGATCCAGGTGTGATCTTTCATAGAAAAAAAAAATTAGTTAATTTTGGTCTTTTACTTGTAATAATTTCTTCAAAGATGTATTTTTGCTGCACAATATGTGACAGTAACCGCCAAACCCTTTCAGTGTTTTTGTCGAATAAAATAAAGAATAATAAAGTAATAAATCATTGAACTGAACTTCAATAAGACAATAATAAATATTAAAAAAAACAGGTGAATGTGAGTGGCTTTGATATATATTGTTCGACTTTGAATTCAAGATATACAAAAATCATATAATTTGAATTATGAAATTTGGTTAAAATATTTAAATAGGTTTATTTTAGAAATTTATTGTGAAAACTATTAAAAAAATAATTTATAAATGCATTGAAGTATGAATAAAATATTTAATTTATTAAAATAACATTTAAAGCGGATGTTTCAAAAATTCTCATCATCCATTCATTGTTTTACACAACTAATCACCCTAGATGCCATTGTGGAAAAGGGGTTAATAGACAATTTAATAAATCTTATTACAGGGAATATATATTTTTTAATATGCATTGTGTATTGTTACGAGATAACTGATTATAAATTCACATTTATCAAATTAAAATGTGGAAATTGTTAATTTAAATATTTCACATTATTACAATGGACAGTGGTGCAAAACATTAAAAAATAGAAATATTTTATATAATTTAAAAATTTATGCGCTCAAATGTGCACCCTGTTAGGGTGTCTTAATTTCAAGGTCGATCAATATAGATCAATGTCACTCACATTCACCTGTTTTTTTGTTTTTTAATATTTGTAATTGTTTTATTGAAGTTGAGCTAAATGATTTATTACTTTATCATTTTTTTATTATTTTACACCACTGTCCATATTTTTTCACTCATTTACCAACCATTTTACTTCTCAACAATCAACATCTTACAGTAATAATCAGATACAAGAACAATAATCAGTAGATAGTCTCACGTGAATTTACAACATTTAGAATGTAGTAGAATGATAATTGTAGGGAAGTGTGTTAAAACAATTATATTATAAATATACATATATAAAATACTTTAACTAATACACTTGCCAACTTACATGGTATGTGTGGGAACATTATGTCTGAAAATAGAAGATAAAACATTTTATGACGTTTAATTATTTTGTCTTTTTTTTAATTTTTGTGTATTGTTCTAAACTGACATACATAGCTAGAAATTTTTTCTGCGAAAAAATATTAAATGTACACGTTTAACAGTATTTAATGAGTTCACATGAGATCAGGTTTAACATTAACAATGGATCATTTAATTCCGCAATTGTATACCTATTTAAACATATTGTGAGGGTATTATAAATAAATATTTGGTTATGATAATTGGGGTATTAAATTGACGAACAATTTTATTTTTGTCTGTTCTGCTAAGATCTCTAGAGGACGCAATTAGGATATTACAAACCACATCAAACTAAATATTGTTTGGCGCCTTCTGATATTTCCATTGGAATGTTTGACATTTTTTTAGCATAAACGTACCATGTACGCTAATGTTATGTGTTGTTTACAGTGACTTGAAAAAAATTGCACAAAATAAAATGAAATTTACTCGTGAATATTTTCAAACGATCGTTAATTGCTCAGAAAACCTTTTATCTACGAACGCTAATATATCATAAATTAAAATTAACTGTCATATTATTCTCAAATATTTACCATAAAATATATATCATTATAAAACAAGACAGATCGTGATCGTATAATTTTTTAACAGATAGTAAAACGAATTTGTATACCCTCAGCCTTATGGCTAATGAGAGTATATACACTTTGATACGGTGAAAATGTGCCTCATAGAAATATTGGATCCCATTTTTCTTTGGGCCAAATCCGTTTTAGACAATTTGGAGTCAATTTACACATGTCCGTCTGTCCGTATATCTGGCCGGTTGGTGCGCACGATAACTCTAGAAGGAAGCAACCGATTTCGTCTAAACTTTGCACATCGTAATATTTCTTCCAAACTAAGTTTAAGTTCGAAGATTCGAATGTCGATCGACTTCTTCCTGTACGTCCCACACAAAATGGTAAAAATTGTGCTAAAAATAATTTTATAATATCATGCGAACGGACTGTCCGATTTGAACCAAACTTTGTGCAACCTATTATCTTTACTAAGCATAGATCAAGTCCGAAGATGCGATCTTCAGGTATCTCCACCACAAATGATCAACATTTTCAATATTTTTAATATTAATATCTATATCAGGCGAATGGAATGACCGATTTGAACTAAATTTTGCACAACCCATTATCTTTACGAAGTCTAGATCAAGATGGGACCCATTGATTCACTCCATCTGGTTAAAACGTTACCAAGTTCTCAAATCCGCATCGATTGGATTTGGTGTTACATTTCGAACAGTACGGATTTATATCAGAAAAATTGGTATTAAAAGAAAACAGAAAACTATATATTAGATGCATTAATAAGCACAAACGGATTGTTTTTGTTGGTCTTTGTGGATGAGACCAATTTCAACCTTCGGTACGGTCATATAACAAATAGGATACCCAACAAAATATAATATATGCGCAATACATTTATTTTTTATCTCGTTACTCTGTACGGCATCTAGGAATTTGGATTAACTTTGTTACTTTTTTTCCACAAAATAATAAATCTATATGAAATTTTGGAAAAATCTGATAATAGAATTGAATACTTCATTATAGTGGATGTAACTATACGGTTTTTGCATTCTGTAAATATATAAATTATGGGATCTCAGGTGAATATTTCGAGGTGTTGCAAAAGAAACTATATAATTATTCCCTGATGTTTCTATATAAAGAATTTTAGTCAAAAAGTTCGAAGAGGCCAAAATATGTTCAACTAAATCCATTATCGTGTTAGATTCAATTATGACGTAGAGGTGGTAGAAATTTTCATTGATTTGATATTGTTTTACTCTATTCATATTATTTTTATAAAACGAAAAACAATCGAATGACAACACAACACAACATTTGTGCCCTATTTATCTTCGTGCAAAAACAACTGTAATTTCTTGTCAAATGATTTTAATCCCCCCACGTACAATTTAATTCAATTTTTTTTCTTCGGAATAGAAAAAAAAACATCATAAATAACGGTTCATCTCAAGTCAATAACCTAAGATTTATAGCAACAAATCGTTCATACATATTCGTGTGTCACAATCGGCAAGATGGTCTAGAATGCGATTTTGTAAAACTGATATTCGTCATTCGTATGTGGGTTATTTGTGAAAATTAAGTCAGAGCAAAATGACGATGCGACAAACGTTGAACGGTTTTCCGCTAAGTTCGTCGTCTACCGATTCAATTGTGAATTAATTTATACGTTTGCTAGTGATCATAGCTTAGTTTATTGTTGTTGTTGGTAGTACGAATAGTAGAAACTTTAATGTACAAATATGGATTGATGCTAGCTTAAACGGCAAAAAAGCAGAGTAGAGCGACAGATGATGCTTACCTCTTTTATACAATGTCTGGGTAAATGAACCTACAGTTCAATAACCCCCGTCTGACAACAACAATGGAGGCATATATCGAATGCGAACATAATACCATATTTGTAGGATTTGGAAATATTTTGTTGAAAACTGTGACAGTGCTAAATAAAAATAAGTTAAGTAATTGTGTTTAATTAGCACTATTAAGTTTTTTATTATAAATAATAGTTTTAAGTTTGTTTTTATTTGTTTTCAAAATTAACCTAAATTCTTGTTCTTTTTCTTAATTTGTTTACAGTTTGCGGACCCCCTGCTGTGCCCCTGAATGCCAAAGTACAGACAGTCTCCGATGGTACATCAATACTGGAAGCGAAATATGAATGTGATCCTGGTTATGAATTATTCGGATCCTCAACACTAAAATGTGACCCACGCACTGGCTGGGAAAAAGAGCTGCCTTTCTGTGGCAGTAATGTGGCTTATCGTAAACCGGTCAATCAAAGTTCTTATACCCGTTCTGGTTCAGCTCATTATGCCAATGATGGTGAACCGGGAAATAAAAATCCAGATGGTCAACAATGTTCCGAGACACAAAAGGAACCATCGCCTTGGTGGCGTGTAGATCTATTGACCCCACAAGCTGTACGTGTGGTCCGCATAACCACACGTGGTTGTTGTGGTCATCAACCATTGCAAGATTTGGAAATTCGTGTTGGCAACAGCAGTGCCGATTTACAGCGTAATCCATTGTGTGCTTGGTATCCTGGAACTTTAGACGAGGGTATAACGAAGACATTCACTTGTGCCCGTCCTCTCGTTGGACAATTTGTTGCAATTCAATTGGTCGGCGTTGAAGGCAGTTTAAGTTTGTGTGAAGTTGAAGTATTCACCAATGATGAATTCTCGGTTGATCGTTGTTTAAGTTCGAAGTTGGGAGTTGACACTGTTCTGACAACATTTTCGAAGACATGCTATGAATTTCATGTAACCAAAGGGGAGACTTTCGAAAAGGCTCAACAAACGTGTAAAGTAACAGGTGAGTTTTTTTATTGGTATTATATATTAATAACACAAAAAGAGAGGACTGTGAATAAGCGTGGATATTAAAAGAATATTTTTTAAAGACTATCAATAAATCTTGTTTATTGAAGAATATTTTTCTAAGGACTGTCACTAAGCGAATATTTCTAAAGAATATTTTTATGGATTGTCAATAGGCGTAGATGTTTAAAGGATATTATTTTAAGGACTATCATAATCGTCGATTTTTAAAGAATATTTTTAAGGACTATCAATAAACTTGGATTTTTTAAGGATATTATTTTAAGGACTATCAATAAGAGTGGATTTTTAAAGAATATTATTTTAAGGGCTGCCAATAAGCGTGGATTTTTAAAGAATATTTTTAAGGACCGTCAATAAGTGTGGATTTGTAAAAATATTTTTAGAGCCTATTAATAAACGTGGATTTTTAAAAATATTTTACGTAAGGACTGCCAATATGCGTCGATTTTTAATGAATATTTTTAAGGAATGTCAATATGCGTGGATTTGTACAAATATTTTTTGGCCTTTTAATAAGCGTGGCTTTTTAAAGAATATTTTACGTAAGGACTGTCAATAAGCGTGGATTTTAAAGAATATTTTACGTAAGGACTTTCAATAAGCGTGGATTTTTAATAATATTTTTCGTAAGGACTGTCCATAAGAGGATCTTTAAAATATATTTCAAAGCATGGATTTTTAAAGAATATTTTTTGAAAGGACTGTCCATAAAGGGATCCTTAAAAAAATATTTCAAAACATTTCAAGATTTTTTACTGACTATCAATAAGCGCGGATTTTTAGAGAATATTTTTATAAGGTTAATTTTAAAAATATTATTTTTTAAACTATCTATAAGTGCTAATTTTTAAAAAAAAAATTAACAACTCTTTGAAAACATATTTCAAAATGAAGCTTTTTAAGGAAATGTCTATTAGACCGAAGCATCCTCTATAAAGAGAAGGGTGTTATTGGACGACGGTAGTGTCTTATGGGATACCAAAGGGTGTTTAAAGACTGAAAGTTTGTTTAGAAAACGAAAAGATTAAGAGAAAACCAAAAGTTGTTGTATAAGACTGAAGGATTTTACAGAAAACAAAGGGTCTTATAAAAATGTGGATTTATAAAAAATTAATTGTTTAAGGAAGATGATCGAATGATCTCACAGAAGACCGACCAATAGAAGGCCAATGGGTGTTAGAAGATGAAGGTTTTTTTTTAAGACGAAGACCGAATGATCTTATAGAGAAGCGAAGGGCTTTATAAAATACTCTAATAGGGTATATAATATTAATAGAACAGAATATTGTAGAAGATCGAAAGATGTTATAGAAAGCCGAAGGGTCATATCTTAGAGCCTTATAGAATATCAAAAACATAATAGAACTCACAGGCTCTTACAGAATATGGTATTTTCGAAGACCCAATGGTCTTATCGCAGATCGATGTGGCTTTCTGTCCAGAACGAAAGAGACTAAAGAGTCTTGTAGCAGCCTGAGTGGTGATACAGATTAATTACTATTACTGACAGAATGTTATTCCCACTATTTTTAATTTTTTGATTCCCAAGACAAATTTTGAGGATATGACTTAGGAATATATTTAAGAACACATATCTTAGGCGTCCGACTTCTTAATAATATTTTCGATTAAGGTTACAACTTTTGAGATGAATTTTATATAGTCAGGGGATCTTGAAATATTAATTTCAGGTTATTGGTAAATTATTAAAGTTGTCCTCGCCTGGATCCCAATAAATATGCAAAATAATACCGGATCATAATTGTAACTGTTCTTAATTTTGGGCAACTACTGAATATATTTCCATATAGTAAATCTCAATACTGGAAACATTTTAATGGAATATTTTTCTTTGGACCGATGTCAGGTTTTTGAGGCAACAACTAAGAGAGGGAAGTTATTAACCTTTCTGCATTCGTTTCCTCTAGAAATTCCCTCACAAATTGTCAAATATTTCGACAAATTTAAAAGGAAATACAAATCCACTCCCAGAAAAAAATATTGGTAATAATTCATTTGGACCAATGAACTTTACACAGATATTCACTTGAGCATTCCTACCACTATCTCTGAAAAACTCCATCCATTTAAATTTAAATGTTGCAATTAATATTTCAAGCTTAAATAATTAAAATTGCTCGCCAGAAATACATATAAGATATTTCTCACTATTTATGAAGCACAAGGTTAACATTCATATTTACAAAAAACAGCCTATAATTGTGTAGATATACGATTGACCTATGTTCATGACTTTTGACCTGCTAAACTTGACTTTAAATCTTTATACAAATAACTAGGAAACATTATGAGTACTTTTTGTTTTGACATCAGTTAAAATTTTTATACAAAAAACTCTATAATGAAATGAAAAAATATATATTTAATTTTGGTTTAAAGAAATGCATACTGCAATATTAATTGTCCACAAAATGTAATGTAGTTCATTTAATGCCCCAAATTAGTTTTTTAATTATCAAACTTTAAACAATTTTAAGTACATATGTTTTTCTCACTTTTATAGGTGGCGATTTGGTGCACGATTTTCGTGGAGCTGCAAATGATTACATACTCTCGGAATTGGAAAGACGTAAATCAGAACTTAAAACGCAGTTGGTGTGGATTGGTGCACAAAAAGAACCCGGCATAACTTCACGCACATGGAAATGGGTAAATGGTAAGTGCACGTTAAACAAGTAATATAACTAAATTCAAATGTGTGTGTATATAAAAAAGTGCATATAACACGTTAAACAGAATAGAAGTCAATATAATTAACAAATTAATTTAGCACAATTCGAAATGAAGATATTTATATGTCTTATGCTCTGGAGGAAGCTTTAAAATATTTAAACAATAAGATGTATACATTTTGAATTAAGAATTGAAAACTGACTAATTGCGAACATAGCGACGCCTCCGAACCATAGTATGCTAAGTCTGAAAAGTGATTTTTCAGTAGAAGCTTTCAAAGTATGGAAGTTTCTTATATCGTACGTGGCATGCTAAGTACATTTTGCGACCAAAAAGCATGAATTTAAATTAAGGATCTCCAAAAACGTGAAGAACTTTAAAACAAATATATCCTGTGACAAAATTGTGTTCATATTTTGAACACCATTCCGGAAATTCATTTTTGATGTGTGTAGCTTCTAGCTGAATTTTGAAGCCAGAGTCTTTAATTTGCTACATCGTTTTCTTAGAGGATTAATAACCTTAATGCAATTTTACACAGAGTATCCTGCGTTTTCTCAGAGAATTAATAATCTTAAGGCAACAATTTTACACAGAGTATCCCGTATATAAATTTGTGTTGATTGATTCTTCATAGAGCTTGGAACGATCGAAATTTATTTTGGGGATTTTTAAAGTGATTTTAGAAATTTTAAAATGTGTACTCTATATGTAAGAAATGTACTAAATTGGGTACCATTGGTTATGGCCGAGCAGTTTTAGATGGATACATAAATGGTCATCGATTTCAGAGTTAAAAATTAGGATCAATGTTGGTATAGGTGTTCAGAAAGTTTTAAAGAACAAGTACACTTTTTAAAATCTTTGGCATAGTTGGCAATGGTACATGCTGAAGTAGTTTTGGTCAACGAATGCGCGATATTATGTGATAATCCTATATCAATTCTATAAGGATTTGGAGATGGTGAAATTTTGATAGGATCGGAATTTAGATTTGTAGAAAATCATGGTATAATAATAAAAGGTAACAGCAAGTGTTGTTGTACAACAAACGATACACCAACCACATGGAAATTTGTTGTTGTAAGTTCTACTAGTGTCAACGTCATTTGACAGAAAAATGTAAACAAACAAATAAATTATTATCAAATTATATTTATTTTGAAAATTATATATTTTCGAATCCTAAAAATAAAATTTGAAAAAAATGAATGAAAATCTATCAAATTTATATTTCTATCGCTTCCACATCTTTCCTATAATTGAGCCATTGCCACTTATATGTGTAACACATATGAAAATGCAGGGAATTGCGAGTTATTCCATGAACAAAGATTTGTTTCCTCAAATTTGCCCAGCAGGCAGATTGAGTAAATTGAAAACCGGAACACATTTAATAAGAACAATTTCAAATTGTATGCGTTCCCAATTTTCCTGTTGGGTGATTTTTAAAAACATAATTTGTCAAATTCATATTGACACTAGTGCTACGTTGGAATCAAATCAGCTTGGATTTGCTGTTACCTTTTATAATTGTACCATGGTAGAAAATATAAGTTGTGTCCGAAGAGGCTGCTCCATTTTTTAATTTGAAATACACGTTTATTAAAAATAAAAATCCAGTGCAGTGGGAGTTTGTCAAGCAAATAAATATAGTTTCTTAAAATTTTATACGGATTTGCATGTATATAAATTAATTCATTTACTTTATCCGACAATATATTAGTTTGGGGAAAAATAAATCCATTATTTTAATATGAACTATAGAACTATCGGAATCTCCGATTTGAGCCAAATATGCACGGTTTTTTTTGTATGATTTGTTGCCATTTTAAGGTAACTTCATAATGCATCCCTCATAGAAGTCCTGCTCTCTATGTGTGCGGCCTAGCGTTCTCCTGGTGGAACATTACCCCTCTCCTGTTGGCCAATCATAATAAATAATCCCCGTTTGGCTTCACAGATGGTAATTCGATCCATCCCCTCCTGGGCGATGTTACGACTGCTAACATGCCGGTCAACTCCGATCATTTCTCCGATTTTATCGACAATTCCGACGACCGGTCTAATGGATTTTTTCCAAACCTAATATTTTTTAAAAACAGAAAGAAAACCCAGTAACCTTAGTATGACCTTTTCCAGCGGAATGTTAGGCTGTCACCCCGTTCGGTATTAAACGCAAGTTTTTAGAAGCCTTAGAACAGACATGGCTGTCGAACGAGGCTTTATTGTCGATAGGTGGAATGTATCTACGTGTTTTCCGTGTATCTATTCAAGGATTTGGCTCAGGGTGAATATGTGATTTATGGTGGATATGCCTGCTATGGAGGCGATCTGGCTTCAGTCGTTCACACACCACATTGGAATAATACTAATTCCTTGTTTTGTGTCCTTTTTTGCATACCGTATACGGGAGCTGAGTTTCCAATCATTGGGTATATATTTCAACATTATTTAAAAATAAAAAGAAAATTATAACATTATTATTATTCTTAGAAAATGTACCCTACTTCAAATTACAGTGAACAAAAACATTGGATGGTACGTTGGTTTTGAATATGAAATTTAGAAATAGCCAGAAATTCTATATTAGGATACAATGGATATCCTAATATAGATTGTCTGAACTAAACTTTAGATTTCTGAATAAGCAGAGTATGTATATAAGGTTTAGATAAATAAAAATGACGAACCAGGAAAGAAATATGGGAACTTTTTTCATGATCATTTTGGATCAAATGAAGGATGGTTAAATGTATCACATGACCGCCATCCACGGCATAAAATCAATTACTTTTTTTAGCAAACATCATTGACGATTCCAGAGGACGTAGGCCAAGGGTATTTTTTGCACATCGAACTGACATTATTGTTCGTTGTTTTGGGAATTTCTATGAGACAACTTCTACCATATCTAATATGCACAATAAGTCGTCATAATTAGCGTAAATAATGCCGAAAAAGTTTCCATGGCTATCGGTGTGCATGTACACATTGATATAACACCCATTCCTTATATGCCTATACCAATGTTTTTTTTTTGTGTTTGGTAAAGGTTCCCGTCGTTTTGGCGGACTATTGTGTGTTTAAAAAACGAAAGTTATTTTCTATTCATTATTATTTCATTTGTATATTTTTAACAAAAATTATTTCTAATTATTGTTTACATTGATTAGCCCGTTTTGAATTCCAAACGCATGTCTCTCTATAGACTTCAAATTGCTTATAATTTTTTGTCTTTTTTATTTAACCTTGATTATTACCATTTATTCAGTTGGGCTGATTCATTTTCATAATTTTTTTCTTTTTTTTATTTCTCGAATTTATTTTGAATTCTTTGTTTGTTTTTGTTTACAGGTGAAATAGTACAGAAACCAGCTTGGGGCAAAGATCAACCGAACAACTATAATGGCGAACAGAATTGTGTGGTATTGGACGGTGGCCGCAATTGGCTGTGGAATGATGTAGGCTGCAATCTGGATTATTTACATTTTATATGTCAGCATGGTAAGTGGTTAAGAGTTTTGTTCAAAATGAGAATTCCGTAAAAAGAATTTTTGATATGTTTAATGTCGTGGGAGCATATAAAACTAGCAGTTGATTAAAATGATATTGAAAGTTGTTTAGTCATTTATTTAACTTACGAAGTGTAAAACTGTACTATTCATTTATTATATTAGATAAAACAATGTTGAAAATGGATGTATATGTATTGTCGTAAAGTAAAGTACTTTCATCGTAAATTTTGCAAAATGTTTGCCTAACCCTGGATTTAATTAATTAAATTCAGTGAGAGTTGCGTATGGTTTCAAATAGTCGACCCCTTTCGACAATACTGCTCCGCTTGCTGACATCATCGAACGTGACTTTGCACCCAATCCGTGTCAGGCAATTTTAGAACGATTTGGAAATGCTGATCCTTTTAGCTGGCTGGTACATTCCATAACCACGAAAGCACCCGGTTTGGCTCAAATAATTATCCTAAACTTGAATAAAGTCGGAAAATGATCATCATTTAAAAATGAAGTATACGGTTTGGTCAAAATCGTACATATTAAAACATTTAAGAAGTCTACTTAAAGTCTCAAATAATCTCATTCGGTCAAACATCGTTAAATAACTTATGGAAGATAATTTAGTTTCTAGCTTCAACATAGACGAGTATCGGGATATGTACTCCCATTTTTAAAATTTGAAAATTGTGATCTTTAAAAATTAAGATGCGGGATATCAAGATTAAAGGACAGCATTTCCTCTTTCATTTTATTCGCCATCAAAACAACCATGTGTCTTCGCTGTGTAAATCATCTTGCCTGTGTAAAATTTAGTTTTTTATCATATTGATACACTGAAAATTAACGGATTATTTCCACAAGCTATAGGGATCGTCCTTGGACTGAACCGAACACAGCTAGGATATGATATCGTTGTACCAACAAACCAGAATAAAAATAAAACCATCGAAATTAGCATATGTTTCCAAAAGGAGTAATGTGGTCCCCTACAATTGTTTTCGAGGTATTACAAATTTAATTTACACTCCGCCTTGTGATGGATTAAATATACTTTCGTAGAGATAAGGTTAGTTTGGCATCGGTTAGTCTGGCACACTTAAACGATGGGCGCCAGATTCAAATCCCAGCAGAGGAGGAAAACAATCTCTTAATAGTAATACAATTTTTGTGAAACGATGATAAAATATATCCGAAGTAGGCTGACATTTTAGTCGCAGTTAAAAATGGCAGGAAATATTCTTCATTTAGAGAAAAAAAAACACTAAATATTTAAGGACCCCAACCCCCACTGCACAAAATTTCAAGTATATGTTGTTATAGGCAAAATAGGACAGGCTACAGCAGAAACACCATTTACTTAGCTGGGATAACAACATTATCGAAATTAAAACAAGGAAAAACTATGTTTCCGAGGAGACTAATGAGATTTCCTGCAAATATTGCAAGGTGTTACAAACGGAGTCCCAAAATATAATTTACTCTCCGCCTTGTGATGGATTAAATATAGTTTAAGAGGTTCGTAGTGCAATTGATAGTTTGTCAGACTAAACCTGAACATGCCTGAAATTTTAGTAACCAACCAATGCATCAATACATGGGGTCAACTTAAATAAAGAATGGTAGGATATAGCGTCGTTCAGATGTAAATAGTAAAACCAAATTAGCCAGGTCCCAAACCATTGCAGACAATTTCAAAGATATGTTTCTAGGCAACGACAGATGGCAGCCCCATCAGGACTACATCAGACCAATCATCTAAAGGGTGATTTTTATGTATTATATTTTTGCCAACACTGGTTTAAACAGCTCACGTACGTTTCGTGTTTTGTTTGACTGTCGAACATATTTTTGTGGATCTATAATTTTACTATAAAAATGCGTGTTCGGTTGTGAAATGTTAATCGATCCACTGATGCGGCTATTCGGGTTATTGTGCCTAAATTTCGCTGCAATTGTTGGACCAACATGCTTACGTATGCTGCGAACTGAAGAAAATATCTCAGATGTATAGGTCATTGTTAATGATGACCATAAAATTTTTGATTTTGGAGTTAAGATCAGCCAGAAGGATTACAGCAGTTACTAATATATCCAAAAAAGCCGCCGTTTAGTTCGGTTTATGCGGATTGTAACATAACTGCGAATGGTGGGCGTTATCCTTAGATGATATCCAACTTTGTTGACCTGAATACGAGAACTTGACTTGCATTTGGTTTTAACAAGACGGTGCCACATACAAAGCACAACTGTACTCATTGAACATTTTATTTCATGTTCGGCACCGGTCAATTGGCAGCCTAGATCGTATGATGTGACCACTTTAGACTATTTTTGTGGGGCTATGTTAAAGCTCATATTTATACAGACAAGACCGCTTCATTTGATCCATTCCAAGGCAATATTCAGTCATTTACTCGTGTGATTCCGGCCAAAATGTTGGCCATTTAAGAAGCACGCGCGTTCAATATTTGGACCGTGCTATCGATTCAAATGGAGATTCCATAAGTTTTCTAAATTTTATGTGTTTAACATTCCCACAGCTCTAAAAAATCAACTGGAATAAAACAATGAAATAATCTAATAGTGCGTTTACATTGTACCTGGTTTCTTTAACCCAGTGGGTTTAAATTGTCAATTTCATTGCATATAAGTCAAAGAAAAAATCCTCATACAGTAGGTTAACCCTGTAGAAAGTTCTAATGTTAAAGTCGTTTAACTCAATAACTAATCGAAAACTCTATATGAAGATTCTTAATAGTACGAGCGGATTAAAAAATTTATGATGATTGATTAAATTGATCTTAAAACAAAAATTGTCAAAATGAAAGCAAATTATTGAAAAATCTTATAACACATACCCAAATTCATTATCCGTACAGAACCCACTTTACATAACAATATACAATTATTTTACTAAACATAAATTTATTAAGCACTCAACATATCCACTTTCATTAATAATATGTTGCAATATGTCAATGGTTCGGATCCACTCTTTCTTTCACATCATTTTATTTCATAATAACGACAACTACTCTCAAATTACTTTCCTCTTGTTATCCATTTGATTTTAACCGAGTCACACAATTTCCTCTCAAATACTTTTCCTCTTCCTATTACACATTTTACTGCTTTCATCTTCGGTAATAACGGCAGGCCCGTCGAAATTAAGACCTTCATAGGAAACTATCAATTTTCAATTTCCAATATGTGTTTTTCTTTTCTTCTTCGCCGTGGTGTTCATATTATTCAATTATTTGTTAAACGAAGTGTTAAAACTTTCCAAAAACAACAATAACTACAACGTCAATACCAATTTTTTATTAACGATTTCCCTTTTCAATTGAATTTTCTATTTTTTTTCTTCTTGTTACAGCTCCGCTATCTTGTGGTTCACCCGATTCACAGCAAAATACAACAATTGTTGGTAAAAACTATACCATTGGTAACAAAATACAATACCAATGTCCCAAGGGTCATTCATTAATCGGTGATGCAGAACGTACATGTCGCACCGATGGCACCTGGAGCGGAAAGGCACCCACTTGTATATGTATGTATGGAAAACCAAAAAAAATATATTTGAAAACAAAACAAAAGAGACAAACAAAAAATCAACAGCAAATCCCACAACGTGCATATGGAGGCATATATGTAGAGCTACATAATCCCCACATTTACTCTATTGCATTGTTGTGTGTGGTTGTTGGCCTTTATACCATTTTTGTTAATACTATTATCATTTTTTTTCGTTCGTTCGTTTTTTTTTTTTGTTTTTGTATGCAGATGTCGATTGCGGTCCATTGCCGGAATTGGAACACGGTACAGTGCAATTGTCTGAACAGCGCACCAGTTATGGCGTTCAAGCAACTTATGCATGTCACGAAAATTACACACTAATCGGTAACGAGAATCGAACCTGTGATTTGAATGGTTGGACTGGTAAACAACCCGAGTGCTTGGTTGATTGGTGTCCTGAGCCACCAATGATACAAGGCGGTACGGTAACCGTGAGCAATAAGAGAGCTGGTTCCACTGCGACCTATGAATGTGAAGCTGGTTATGTTCTGGTTGGAGAACCGGTAAGAATCAAAGGCCCATGTTGATTAATTCGAATTTAATTAGCAAAGAAACGAATCTTTTTAACATTGGCTTAACAGAGTGTTTAACAGAGCTCTATTATCGTTAACATTACTACAAAATAAAGTTTTAGCTATCCTTTTTGCAGTGCTAATGATTAGTACTCTTCAGATGTTTTCCATAGGTACCTATACTGACTTGGGAGAATTGTCCAGGAATGCATATTAGTCATTTGTTTAATCATGATAATGTTAACGATAACAGAGCTCTGTTAATCACTCTGTTAACACTTTGTTAAAATTAGGTTCATGTTTTTTCTAAATAAATTCGAATGTAATTTTTTATACAACCATAAAATACGATATATAACCATGAATTTTATATATAGATTATTTCCTGTGGTCTTGGAGGAGAATGGTCCAGCAAGGCACCATCATGCCGTTTTGTTGATTGTGGTTCCCCAGCAAGACCTGATCATGGCTTAGTCACATTGGTAAATGGTTCCACCACTGTTGGTTCGGTGGTCAAATATGATTGTGAAGAAGATTATTGGTTGGATGGCAATTCCGAACTATTCTGTACCAAAGAAGGCAAATGGTCTGGAGATGCGCCCGTTTGCGAATTGGTAACATGTGATACACCCAATGTTCCGACAGGCTCCTATGTCGTTGGCTATGATTATAATGTCCATTCAAAGATACAATATAATTGTGATCCGGGTTATGTTCTAAAGGGTGATCCCATACTGGAATGTATGGACAATGGTGAATGGAGTGCTGAGGCACCATTTTGTGATTGTAAGTCCAAAGAAGAGAAGATTTAAATGAAATACAAAATCTGAATAATTTGAATTCGTTTTAGATATTGATTGTGGTGAAATTACTCCCATACCATATGGCTCATTGAAATATACGAATAATACGACATATGTGGGTTCTGAGGTGACTTTCAGTTGCTCACAATCACACAAATTGAATGGTGTCCCCAAGAGAATTTGTTTGGAGACGGGTGTATGGAGTGATGCCTCACCTAGATGTGAAGGTAACAACATGAAAGAGGAGGGGAATTAATTCGATAATAATATGTATTTTTATGATATTTACAGAAATCCGTTGTATGGAACCTGTGTTGGCTGCCCATAGTATTCTCTCTGTTACCGGTAATGATCGCATGTATGGCAGAACTTTAATAAGGACCTCTGAAACGTTGTCGAATGCAGCACAGACTTATAGGTAAATCTATGGGGAATTACTACACAAATTTAAGGGAGTACAAATTGTGAAATTGATTATAATTTAGTATTTTGGGTTATACAAAATATTAGATAGACCCCATATAACATCATCTCCCAAATTTAGATATTTTTCGGAAGTTTGGGCACGTTTTTATACCCTACCCTACAATAGGGGTATTGTGGCTTTGTGCGGTCCAAAGAATTTGTAACACTGGCAAATATTGGATCTAGATCCACCTTTTAGTCTACCGATCGCCATATTTCGACTAGCTTAGTCGATCTAGTCCTCCGTCCATCTGTCCATTATAATTTGTAAACACGATACAGGGCACTTTTTAGCCCCCATACAACGGCACCTCCCAACAATTTTCGGGAGTTTGGACACGTTTTTATACCCTACCCCAAAAGCTCGTAACGCCGAGTCACATACCACCTCTTAGTATACCGATCGTCATATTTCGATCTAGTCAAATTAACCTAAAATATTATATTTGTCTGTTTTCCTAATCGCTCTAGAGGTCAGAAATTTTACATAGAGAAAGGACCATGGAATAACTGTTTTTATGTAGATCGGTCAATATTCAGCGGGTCAAATGGGCGCAGACTTTTGTATGAAAATTACAACATATGTATTCTATGGTGTATATATTTACTCCTGCAGGGCATAGACCACAGAAGTTGGTAATATATGCCAGAGGAGGTCAAACATTAAATTGATACCAATTATACTGATGTATGTAATCGGATGTGGGAATTATACGTGAATATTTACAGGAGCCCACCTATTCTGATATTGTTTAGTATTACAACTACCACACCAGAGGGCGGAATGTTGCGCTAATGGCTTGGTAATTTTGCATGGGGTTCAAGGATCATATTCGGGAATCAGATCACATTCGGGAATCAAATAGACCGAAAAGTCTATTTTTCTGGTTATCTAGTCGATCTACACGTCATAATTATAAGACGAACATCAGAAATTTTTCCATGGAGAAGGCGGTCGAATGGCCGTTTGTTATTTTTAAATTAACAAAATATATGGAGTCGGGTTTTTTTCTATTTTTGGGATTTAGGTATGTTCAAGTTCCTTGCCGAATTTTACAACCTGAGAATCGGTAGTTTGTTATTTCATTATATATGGGTGGCATGGTAAGTTGCGATCAATTGTAGATATTTTGAATCTGCACCTCATGATGGAGGGTATAAACGTTCGTATCGGCCGAAGTTTAGGCTCTTTTTATTTGTTTTCAATACTCGTAAAATTCTAATTTACGTATAAATAACGAATAAATATAATTTTATCCTGTCCCTGAAATAGCATTACTGTCTTTCTTTATCTCCCTGAAAGCCGGCTAGCTGTAAATTATCTTTGAGGATTAATATTTACTATTCTAAAATAATATTGAAAATTTTATATTACCAGTTGCATATAGATAACTAATTTGAATTGTATGTACTGATTTATTCTATTGCTCTGATTAAATATCTAATCTCCGAACTTTGTTATTACCTAAAGTCAACATTGGGGTTCAAAGTGTTAAGGTTATTGTAAACAACAAGTACTCACTCAAAAATTTCTTATATGTGTTGGGAGGTCATATTTACTTATTTTTTACACGATTTTTTTTTTTTAATTTACAGAATTGGTGCCCTGGCCAAATACCGTTGTGAACGTGGCTATAAAATGGTGGGTGAGGCCTTGGTCACCTGTGAAGATAATGGTCAATGGAGTGGTAATGTTCCAGAGTGTGTATGTAAGTAATTAAAACGAATTTTTCTTATAAAACAACAACACCAACAACAATAATACAATAAATCACCTCTCAATAGATGTTGAATGCGGTCCACCACAAAATATTACCAATGGTAAAATGACCTTGGCCACAAATGCCACATATTATGGTGCTGCTGCTCTCTATGAATGTAATGAAAATTTCAAATTAGATGGTGTATCGCGACGTTTGTGTACTGAGGATGGCACCTGGAGCCATGAGGCACCACAATGCGTAGAAATAATGTGTGATGAACCGGAGCTAAGTGAAAGTGTTATCGTGGAAGCGGGTGAACGTTCAGTGGGTTCATTGGCTAAATTTAGATGTCAACGAGGTCGCATTATGACCGGTAATGATACACGGATTTGTCAAAAGAATGGTCGCTGGTCGGGCAAGAGCCCAACATGCAAACGTAAGTTGTTTAAAATTAATTTGTAAAGGAATATTGGTAATACTTCCTATATTCTTATATTTATGTCATGCTTAGAAACGGTAATTTAAATAACTATAGATAGACTGGGGAATTTATATTAAAAATGTGCTGCGAAATGTCTGAGAGACCTAATATCAAAATGAAAGGTCGTATATCTCAAGATGACCTGTGTAGGGTCTTCTATTTCTGGAAAATCCAATAAATGATGCTCTCTAACTATGTCTTAGGAAGTTTTCAGTTTCTTCATCTTGAGAAGGTGTTCTGCTCCTAGAAGAAGCGTAGAAAATCTATATTAGCCTTCTATGCCACGAAAATGTTTTATAATACCTTTTGATCTCCTTGAGAACTTCGATTAAAAAATGCAGCGAAATATCTGAGAGACACACAATCTACACGAAAGGTCACATATTCCACGACGATTTGTGTACGGTCTTCTCTTTGTCCAAAACCTGTGAATGGTGTTCTAAATTTAGAAGATATGCCTTAAGAATATTTCAGTTTAACGAGATGACATTCTGCTTCTAGAAGACATATATAAGTTTTCTTATTCTATAAAATATGTATGCTTTTATATCACTAAGATGTTGCGTAAGGTATTTTGACATTCCTAGGAATTTCTATGAGAGTCCTGCTACATAATGGAAGGAAAAATATCTCAATAAGACCTGTATAAATTTGTAAGGTCAGTCTTAAGAAGTTTTCAGTTTCTAGGTCATTATAGAGTATTCTGCTCCTATCTTTGAAAGATCCTAAGAATGTATTAATATATCTGGAATTCCCTCATAAGGTACCAAGACCGACCCTACCCAAGTGTGTTGGTTAGGAAGGTCTTCTATCTACAAATGATCAGTAGAGTGTCTACAATCTCTAGAAGTTCTTCAATTACCAGAATACTTCTACAAGTTTTTCGACATCTAGAATACCTGACAAGAAACATTTAGTCTCTGGGAGACAATTTTAATGTTGTTTACCTCTGGTAGACCTGTATATGGATTATTATCTCCAGTAAAACAGTCCCAGTATTGAAAATCCGTTCGAGTCTGCCATATTTTTAATAGATCTTTAAAATCTTACGATTTTTAAGATTGATAGCATAATTTGTTGGTTCATGTTTTGGAATAACCCCCATATATCTGAATAGCCTCATTCGCCCATGTGCTGCATTTCGAGTTTGCTCGAATGTGAAACATTTTCCCAAATTTGGTGTGCTCCAATCCGAATTCCCAAAAAATATTGGGAATATAATTCGAGCACATATAGCCTTGTGGATTGAAAACGAAATGAGATCTTACGTGTTTATCTGAGCACGTACAAGTTACAAAATAACCCTGAAGTAACATTTAACGTGTTTTTACAATATTTATTTAAAAAATACAGTATTTATAGGGCTCCTTCCTTTCAAAAACAGCGAGTAACATTTTTGAGATGAATCTGGCAACTCAACCACCATATGATCAAAATAAAAATAGAATCTATAAAAAATCTACTTTTAAGATTTCTTGCAGATGTGTGCATTTTATTATATCGATGTTGACAAGAACCATGCTCCACTTGTTTATAGGGCGTCAAAAAATGTTTCTAAAACGTAACCACTGTCTCCTAGAAGCCCACTATTTTGCATATCATTTCCTCTTTTGTTAATGCTGCCTAGCTGCGCTCATATGCCAAATAAAAACATCATGGCTGGATCCTGGTCTGCAGCTGTCCACAGCTTGGACACACTTTGTCTTCCAGTACTTTCATTACTCTCCACAATATTTTACACATTGTTGTGCGATCAACACTTATATTTAAATCATTTACCACTACCCTCTGAAACCCACCAGCAGCCAGAAATCTATAGGTACCTGCTAACTGGAGGCTTTCGGGAATGGCACCCTTGTGTATGAAAGGATCCACTTCTCTCAAAATATCCGTAAATGCTTATTTTAACACGTTCCAGTATCATTAGACTTTTTCTGGTAGAAACCAGGGCAATTAATAAGCCAGCATGCATATTTTTTCTTAATTTTGTTGGTAAAGAAATTGCAAATTCCAATGAAACATATGTTTTTTTTTATTGAACACATTTCGTAACATATTGAATACAGCTATGCTTTCGCTCGAAATTGAGCACACCATTTTGCACAACATGGGAATTTAAAAAAGTATGGGAATTCAAAAACTTTCGGAACATGTCACATGGGCGATTATCACCATTTTGAAGTTCAGATTGTCTGAATCTCGGAATATGAAATATTTTATCGTTGAAAATTATCCATATCCATCGGATGTAGACCATTTAAGTATTTCCAAGGTCCCAGTCGCATTTTTCAATAGAGCGGAATAAATTTCGTGTTCTCAGAAGAAAATGTGTCGAACTATATTTTCATATTCTATACTAGCATCTTTATAACTGTCCTACTTTTTTAAGTGTTTCACTTTAACCCTTTGAGCCCCGAATTTTTTTCCGTAATCATAGAACAATTTTCTGTTCACAGATTTAATGCAACTATCCTAGATAGGATATGGATAATTTTTGACATCGCTACATCCTTGCATTCGGGAGATACAGTACATTCTTTCTGAAAAATAAAAGCCCAATATCAAGAAAACCAAATGCAAAATCGACGAAAAAATAATTTTAAATTATTCTCTATATTCTGTTTTACAAGAATCAAAAATAATTCTGACGGCAGAGTTCGTATATTTCAAATACGAAGCGATTTAAATAATTTTTACTGTATACACAAATTAGTACTGTACACATTTTTGCCCTCTTCTCCATATTAAAAAGCTCATAACTTTACCAAAAATTTGAATATGTGTCGTCCATAATCAGGCCTTGACGTATGCAATCCAAAGAATATATATCTACTAGCAGTATATTAAATATTAGCTCTAAAACATTTTGTTGCTTGTGGGCAACATTGGGCCACAAAGGGTTAATTTGGAATTTTGGGTCCTTCTTCTGATATCACGTCCATATAAACAACCTGTTCTAACTTGAAGTATTCTTCAATATCTTAGAAGAATTTTGGATCAAGGTACATGTAATTTATCATTTAGGGTTCTCAGAGGGTGAATTACCTCCTCGTCAGAGGGTGAATTACCTCCCCGTCGTTTTAACATAGATTTCAGTTAAATTGTCAGCTCAATTTTAAGTATTGTATTATTTCAAATCGACCACTTTCCAAAAGTTTTAATATTGGATCATGATCAAACATCGGTCCTTGTTTAGACCTGTTCTCAACTTTTTTGTCCCGAACAAACTTTTTTTGTATTAATATTCTGATGTTGAAATCCTTCATAAGGATTTTTTTCCAATTTTAGTTTCCATTCCCTATTGCCGACGGTATTTTTAAACAATCTCTTATTTCTTTTACAGCTGTTGACTGTGGTCGCCCACTACCCATCGAAAATGGTCGCGTTATTGTGGTCAATGAAACGACAATTTATGGAGGATCGGCAGAATATCACTGCATTCCTGGGTTCAATCGTATCGGTCAATATTTGCGTAAATGTACCGAAGATGGTACATGGAGTGGTGATGAGCCGCGATGTGAACTAACAGCTACTGAAGCACAGGAAAGTTCTGGGCTTGGAACGGGCATTGCAATTGGAGCTACAGTTATTATAGCTCTTCTCTTCTTAATTGGTCTGATATTCATACATCGCAATAAGGCTAGGCCAGTAAAGAATACGGAAAATATTCAAGCTGCTGAGAGTAAAGATGAGCGAAATGCAGCGGTTATGTCATATTCTACACTGGAGGCAAATACTCGCATGAGCATGGATAATGGACCACCGGCCACATTTAATACATTCCATGGTGCGGGAAGGGGGCTGGCAAATGGTAATGGTTCAACGGGAAGAGGTGGGTTTTTCCATTTCAATTTTAATTAAATAATAATTAAAACCAATTATTATATTTCATTTAGAAAACATCTACGATCAAATACCCAATGAACAATTCTATGATGCCCCCTATGAGATGCGCAACAATGATGAGGTCTACGAGCCAGAACCCTCAGCGGGTAATGTTATAACTATCAATGGTATATCTGTGAGATAAACACTTTTGTTAGATAGTAAGAGGAGGAAAAAATTGTTTTTCAAAAGTTTTACATCGAACAGCTATAATCCAAAAGTGTGTTGAAATAGTGTTTTTATTATTTTTTAATTCTAAATTTTAATTGTACGTATGTTTTTGTGTAATTTAGTTTATTTTGTTTGTTTAAGAGACTCGACTGTATTATTTCAAATAATTGGTTTTTATAGCATATTTTAATTAGTTTGTAAGTGTAAGTATATAGAGACTAGAATATATATAGGAATGTCACATATAAGCACGCTGTCACGTTTTGCATAACTCAAAATTGACAATAAGATATAACTTTTTTGTAGATTTGTGTAAAAATGAATGAAGATGTACTGTTATGTTTTTTCTATCTATTTCATAGAGTAGCTGTATATTCTTCTAATATCGATTTAGTTGTAAGACCTATTGTACATATGTATTTTATAAATAGTATGTGATTTCTTATAACTTTACTATAAATATATTTATTATTTTGGCATGCTACTAATTTACTTTTTTCCAGATGAGAATATATTTGTAGTCGTAATGCGATTATTAAGCATATTCGAATATAGAATAAAAAATATTGATACATAAAAAATAAAAAAAACATTGGTTTTAATTTTTGTTAAAGCTATCAGTTAAAAAAGTAAAGTTTGACATCTAAACATCCTTGCATTCGAGAGATACAGTACTTTTTTTCGAAAAAAATGCAAAATTCGCACAATTTGAATACGAAGCAATTTAAATATTTTGGACTGTATACACAAATTACCAAAAAAAAAATTTTTTTATATGTGTCGCCCATAATCAGGTCTTGACATATGAAATCCAAATAATATATATCTAATAGGTGCATATTAAATATACGAACTTGGATGGATACCTTATAGTGGAGCTATAATAATATATAAAATATTTGTGAGATGAAGGAAATTTCCTTCTGAGAACCTGAAAAACTAAATTGTATTGACTTTGACTGGACATTTCAACTAGGGCCTTGCAATTGTCTGAAATGTATTTTATTACATATGTCGCTTTGTCGGAATCTGTATTGAACATTTTCTGCAAGTAAGTAGTACACCCTCTGTTAATTATAAATTACAGTCAGTCACATCGATTCAAAATTCGGTTAATGTCAAAAATTAATTTCTGTGTATAGTGGCTATACTAAAAGAAATGCCAACGTTAACAAGTAAAAAAGACGTTAACATATGCCCGGCCGAACTTGTTATACCCTTTATCTCGTAGGGTGCATTAAAAATTCCTTAATTCGATCGGCACATTTATATGGGTACTACGATATTGTGTTATTTAATAGTAGGTCGTACCTTAGGTAGGTCGTACAAGCTCTGAAAAAATAATATTTCCAATTACCGACACTCTAATTGAAAACCTTAAGGAAGACTTTTTTAAATTTATTTTTAGTCACTTCCATGAGAAAATTCGGCAATAATTTATTAAAAGCGAAAAAGAAGCGCACAAAATTGTATATAAGTCAGCCTTCCAAACCTCTTTATACCAAATTTCAGCCCAATCGGTTGGAAAATGTCTTCAAACACTCAACATGGGATGGTACAGTTTTATCAGACCGTATCCTGAGCTTGATAATTTTTGAAAAAATTGTTCTAACCCCCAAAAAAAAACATAGGTAAATGCTTCTAGTTATACCCTACACAACTATGTTGTCAGGGTATTACAGATTTGTGTAGCCCCAAAAGTTTGTAATGCCGCGAAATATTGGTCCTAGTCCCACCTTTAAGTATACCGATATCTCGACTAGCTGAGTCGATCTAGACATGTGTGTCCGTCCGTCTGTCCATTATAATTTGTAAACACAATACAGGCCACAGTTATGGACCAATCTTCACGAAATTTTACATGTAGGATGGGTTCTGGCCAATGGACCAATCTTTTTGGAAAAGATCGGTTAATATTTAGGGGATGAAATTGACCAAAAACTTTATTTTTGTCGGTTTTTTGGACGCTCCACAAGCCGCAATTATGGCCCAAATACGAAATTTTGCATGGACAAGGAGATCGGGCCATAGAATAAGCATGCTTATTTTGATAAAGATCGTTGAAGTTGATAGCATATCGAAGAGGAGTGGTTGACCTTTAAATTGATACTATTATATATACTCAGATGTGGGAGTTACACTTAAATATTTACAGGTGCTTACGTACTGAGATATTATTTAGTAACCCATTACCACACTAGAGGGAGGAAATATAGCGCTGATCGCTTTGAAATGTTCATACATTATATGGGGGCTATACCAAAACAAGGACCGACATCAATACCAAACATCCTATGAGTACTAATATTCTATGTGCAAATATTGCAAGTTCTACAGTGATTTAAACAGAAGGACGGGCAGACAGAGCTATGTCACTAATTGCAAATGTAAAATCAGATTTTCTAATTAAATAAAATGAATCCAGAATGACGTATCAAATATAAGAAAAAAAATATTTAATTTCTTAGCAGTATTTAACATCAGAATATCATGAAATCGTATTTTTTATGTATTATTGTCTTAAAACTAGCCAATATCGGTTTATTTGGAGCCTACTTTTTTTATGTATTATTGTCTTAAAACTAGCCAATATCGGTTTATTTGGAGCCTACTCCGAAACTAAAGTCAATATTTATAGTACAAATGCTTCACACCCAATGAGAATTCAAAATACCAAAATCTCCTAAAAAACGAACAATAGGGGATAACGTCATAAAAAAAACTTTTTTACAACAACATTTTTCTATAAATGATCGTTTCGCATATTTTTTACTTGTTTTGGGTTAAGTAAATGATTAAGCAAACGAAACATTTTGGTATGTACTTCAAGAAACGTGGGGGTGATTGGTTTTTTGGTTGCTATAACCTATACAATGGGTTTCGGTCAAGAAAGACATCTATATTGTATCTTTATCTTGGGTGGTGGACCAAAGGAGCAACAGCTTAAAATAGACCTGTTTTTTTTCTGGTCATTTGACAGGTCATAATTATGATAATTATGATCGGGAAACGACGAAATTTTACATGAATGGGAATCTCCACCATTATATGTTGATGATTATCTTCGGATCAAAAGGGATTGTGTGAACTTTTTGAAAAATTTCAGACTGACTTTCCATTATGTGACAATTATTTCGCATTTCCAACCAATTCTTAATCCAATCCAATTTCTTAAGCGGGCCCTCCAATCACGATTTCAAATTTCTACGATTTTTAACCGGCTGGCAATTGAACGTGCTTTATATTGAAAACTTGTTACTTTGCAATGGCTTAACGTGGAGAGACAATAAGACCACTTTTTCTGGAAATTTAAATTTTGATACAGATTGGGGGCTACTCCAAATAGTGTACCAAACTGATAATATAAATATGCGAACTTAAATACCAAATTACAGCCCATTTGGGCGAATGTGGGACTAATATTTTTAAATTAAAATTTAATATAAATTAAAAATTAAAATATCCTCCGGCACAGCTTGGCACTAAGTTCTGGAACTTTTTTAGAGAAAATCATATATATAAATTTTAAATAAGAAAATTTTGGATTAATATATGCAATTGATACAGCAGGCATCTATCGTAGAAAAGGTAAACTAAAGTTAGTGTTTAGCGTACGAACTGGTTCGTGTCCTGACTAACACACCTGACTTTGTTAAATTCGAAATGAGATAAATTATCTTTATACAAAAACGTGCAGAACCTTTAACAACAATTTTTACATTTATACATTTTAAATGCATAACAAAAATAATGTAAATACCTAACAGTGAACACATGATTATATACATATACAACTCTGTTTTCTTAGTAGGATTTATTGACATAAATTAATGTAAATGAAAAATCGTACTTTTTTTGTAGCATGCTACATTTTCGTTCATAGTACCCAACCTGTTTAGTAGATGGCGTCTTCTATATTTTATTTTTTTATTTCATAAAATACAACATAGTTTCTTTTTTTCAGAGCATAGACATAGTGGTTAAATGTACTTACTAACAACCAGCGTGACCGCTGACATTTTTCGAAAAGTATCACAGAAAGTATCATTTTTAAAAAAAAGGGCAAAAATCTTTTGAAAAGGTGGCGCAAAAAGTGGCACACTATTTTTCTACATATTAACATGGAATCTGATGAAATTATATATGGACGGTACTTACAAATTTTAAAATCAGTCAAAAGCTAAGTCTTATGTTCGAATATTTCAATACCACATTATTCTCATCCCAAGCCTGTATCCCATGAAAAGTCATTGTAGACTCTATTCGATATCCCATGGAAAATTTCGCCTCAATTGGGAAAAAAGTCGGGTCTTAGGCGCACCATCTTGTATACGGGAGCTATATCTATATCTTAATCGATTCTCAATAATTTGGATAGGCTAAACAAATGAGACGTACTAAATTGCATCCCATTCGGATAATTAATGTTACCTTCATTTGGGTTACAAAAATATTATCCGTATGTCACACACTATCCGTATGTCATCAAATGCACAATAACAATTCCATGTACCACAGGATGTAAAAATTCTAAAAGACAATTTCAATAAAACCGATTGAAAAATGGTGCACATAAATATTTCTTTAGTAGATATCTTCGTGTACCAGCATTTTAAAACAAAGTGGCAAAATTGCACAAAATTTCAAAAAGTGGCACATTTGGTATCAAAATAAAAAAGTGGCACAAGAGTGGCAAGACCGAAAAAAAGTATCAAAATTGATACTTTAGTGGCACAACGGTCACGCTGCTAACAACATTTAACTGCAATTTCCTTTCTATACAACGCAAATCTTTTTTAATTCTTTTGGAGTAGTAGGAATTTTATATTTCAATTATTTTAATATTTAATTTATATTTAAGTGTCAATTCATATAGAATAGGAGGTAAACTCATATTCTGATATTTTTCAAGTACTTCATTAACCTAATTACAAAATTATATAATGAATATACGACTAATTATATAACTGCTTAAAAACGTGTCCTGCAGCGATCATTTCAGTGATTTAATCTTCCCAATTATTTTTCGTATTATATACAATTTTTTGATTTTTTATAAGATTTATTTTCTATACACTAACAATTTTTATATGGGAATTAGTAATGACGTAAAAACTTGGAGGGTCCTTATAATCATTGGATGTTTAATATTTTATATTTGGGTTTGTTGCTTTATTTACTAGCAGTACTAGCCGCATTAATTATTCAACTTTTCTTGTTCTTTGTCATTTGCTTATATATTTTGAAAAAATTTTTATTCACAAAAAAATAATTTAATCATTTTTCCAAAATCTTTACATTTCAAGATTACATTATATCGACTAACACTTATACTTATGTATATATGTATTATGTAGGTTAACATATAAATTTATGAAGTGGTTTTAGTTATATACTTCTGTTTTTAATCCATCTGATTTTTTGCTAAATCTTTTTTAATAGCCTAGAATCGGATTTTTAATATTTTATCTAAAATTTAAATATATTCGTATTTTGGCAACTGTTGTTTTGGTTTAATTCAAACGGAATTCAATATTACATTTTAAAAATTAAAATCTCCTTAAAAATATAGCTTTCAAATTGCAAAAAAAAAAGGAAAATATAAAAAACTCCGACATTTTCTAATAGTTATAAGTTAAGGATATTTCCACTGATACCCTACCTATATTTTAGCAAAAACCCTGTTAGAATAATTAATGACAGTTCAATTTCATTTCAAAAAAAAAAAAAATGATAGAAAATTTATTTTTTATAGTTCACCTGACGTGTCATAAATTAATTTTCGGTTGTGGGAAAGTTTTTACAAATGAAAACTTTGAGCAAAGACGGGAAATTAAAAAAAATCTAAAATTATTTTGTTAATGTGGAATTTAAAACTTTTACTTGGGCGATGCGTTCCCTGGGTCCGCTACTATAATATATTTTTATTTTTCAATATTTATGATTCCCAAAAATGTATTTCCTTCCTTTGCGTGGACTTATAAATACTACAAAACAGAAAATTGATTATTTTCTTAACAAATAACAAATTTGCAAATATTTTAACCAGTGAGCGGAGCAGTATAACTAATATTCAGTACAGCCCTTCTAATTCCATTTCCATATTCCCTTCACCGTGGGTTCTGTGGTTATGTTCGGCTTATAATCGTGGCTTATAGGTCGACTCGAAAAAATTAAAAAAAGTAAGTTTTCGGTCCACTTCATCCCAAAATTATCTGATCATCGCCGAAAATTATAGGCTTTATCCTTGACCATAACTGAAACCTCATGGAACATTTCGAAGCGATCAGCGCTATATTTCCGCCCTCCAGTGTGGAAATGGGTTACTAAATAATATCTGAATACGTAAGCACCTGTAAATATTTCAGTGTAACTCCCACATCCGAGTACGTACGACAATATAATTGGTATCAATTTAAAGGTCAACCACTCCTCTTGAACATACTATCAACTTCTCGAACCTATGTCCTTCAGTAGTAAATATATGCGCCATAGAATACACATTTTGTAATTTTTCACACAAAAGTCAGGGTTCATTTGACCCGCTAAATATTGACCTATCTTTATCAAAACAGGCATGTTTATTCTTTAGCCCGATCCCGTTTTCCATTTAAAATTTCGCAATGTTCGGGCCATAATTGCGGCCTCTGGAGCGACCAGAAAAACGGAAAAAATTAAGTATTTGGTCCATTTCAACCCCTAAATATTAACAAATTTTTACCAAAAACATTGGGCCGAACCCATTCCCAAAATTTCGTGAAAATCGGTCCATAACTGTGGGCTGTATACTGTTTACAAATTATAATGGACAGACGGACGAACCGACACACATGCCTAGATCGACTCGTCGAGATATGACGATCGGTATACTTAAAGGTGGGTCTAGGACCAATATTTCGCGGCGCTACAAACTCTTGGGGCTGAACAATGCTATAACACCCTGACAACATAATTATGTAGGGTATAACTAGGTTTTCAAATTTCTGTGATATGCTAATAGATATGATTTACATCCTTAATCCTTTAAAATATTTGACATCAATAGAAATTGCTACTATTTCTGATTTATACCATTTTTAATTACTATAAAATTAGTTCCAAATTAGATGAAATACAATTTTATTGAGAAATAGTTAAAATCCATCTGGTAAAAATGTGGAAAACACTAAATCCTGTTCTGTACCTACTCCTAAGACAGACGCTAAGCGACTAACAGGCAAAAACAATTTTCCGAGTATTTAAACCAAATATTTACCAAACGCCATTTACACAAAATGCTTCATGGATATACACATTTTGGAAAAATGAGGATAGGGTCAGCAATTTGTTTGTGTAAATATGAAATTTGGAACGCTATCACTAGATGGCACATGCATACTAATGGATAAGTAATCAATGCCTAACTACACATAATAAAGAAGAAATACCCTGCAGCTGAGCCAAAAAAAAGTACAGTATCATATGCATTAGGGAATACACAAAAATTTAAGCGCGAACTACAAAGGTCATAAACCCACCACTTTCATTTCGTTGCATCTCTCCCTTCTTTTCCTCTAAACAGGTAGCAACTCATAATCATTTTCAGGGATACAGGTAAAACCTAACATTTCACATAAATAATTCTGTTGATGGCCGAAAAAAATCAGTTTCATTCGCAAGCTGTTGCAACTCATTTCACAAACTCAACCTACGCACTGTGATATTTTCAATAGATCAGTGCCAACACTTCGAACATCCATCGATCTAGAATTATCGTCTCATTGTTTCGCTCACGAGAGAACATTGAGGGATCATCATCATGATTTTGGCAGCTCGAAAACATCTCTTTGCTACCAATATCATATTCTTCTTCATCATTTTCGTCATTCAGAAATTCATTCAGCTTTTCTGCATCATCGAGGAGAAGGCCTGCAAAAATGCCAATTGTCCCGGGGACAAACGATGTGATGAACGTTGTGTTGTATCAACTGGTGTTGTCCCAACATCTTCATCACCAGCACCCACTATGGCAGCTGCAGGCCTACTGAGTTCCTCGTCCACATCCTCATCCAATTCGACTCCATCACCGTCACCACCACCATCGCCAACACCCCCAGTGAGAGGTCTAAGACTGATTCCAATGGCCATGCGTAAGAATTTGCGTAATTTCGGATTCGGCGAAGGTCACTTCCAACTGTTCGTCGAAGAGAAACAACGCCAGAAGTACATATCGAAATCGCGCCTGAATGCGGCCGTAGCTGAAGTCAAACTCAATCCCAATTAGCTAAACCGCCAACATTTGCATCAGAGTAATTTGGACAAAGTTGAAAAAAAAATCAAACCAAAAAACTAAAATCGATCAATGTAAGCAAGATCGATTGTGATATATTGTTGGTACTATAAAGTGATCCTGTGATAGGCTTATCAAAATAAATTCTTACATATCCAATATGTCTGAGAGCGTGTCTGTCTGTCCGTCTTGATATAGTACTAATTCATTTATTATTGGTTTGCAGCATAGAAATTAGTGTCCCCCTAGAGGATATTATTGAAATGTGTCACATTTCCTGGACTCATAATCATTTGTAATCACCGCCATTATTGGCACACAAGACTGCATATTTTTTGTTCAACTCTGAAAAGCAACAACAATTTTAATAAAAAAAAACAAACTTTTTTACAACAACATTTTTCTATAAATGATCGTTTTGCATATTATTTTACTTGTTTTGGGTTAAGTAATTGATTAAGCAAACGAAACATTTTGGTATGTACTTTAAGAAATGTGGGGGTGATTGGATTAGGTGGTGGACCAAAGGAACAACACCTTAAAATATACCTGTTTTTCTGGTCATTTGACAGATCATAATTATGATCGGGAATCGACGAAATTTTACATGAATGAGAATCTTCACCATTATATGTTGATGATTACCTTCGGATCAAAAGGGATTGTGGGAACTTTTTGAAAAATGTTAGACTGACTTTCCATTATATGACAATTATTTCGCATCTCCAATTCTTTTGCTTTATATTGAAAACTTGTTACTCTGCAATGGCTAACGTGGAGAGACAATAACACCACTTTTTCTGGAAATTGACATTTTGATACAGATAGGTTTATTAAGTACGAATCCATCGATATAAAAAATATGACCTATTTTTTATAAGAACTAACAATTAACAAAATGGCGGAACTTTGATTTTTTGGAAAATCGCGTATTTTTGACCACAAACTAGTTAAAAAATAAGAAAGATCTTCACCGATTGGCTTTATCCTAGTTCATACGGGAGCTATACACTCCCAGAGAAACTTGTCAACATTTGGAACCGATTGGATTATTAGTTTTTGAGTTATCTTGCCCGCCATTCGTAGAACAAAGTTTTGAGAAAAATGCGTTTAAAATTTGAGAATCACTCTTGCCGTCATTTGATGCTGACACAATAAATCGGCTATATCTTTAAGAGTTGTTGAGATTTTCACTTGAAATTTTGCAGGGACATTCTAGAATTAGAGTAGATTCGAATTAAAAAAAAATTGATAAGAACATTAATTGAAAATAAAACATGGCTGAAATTTGACTATTTACGTTATTGATAGTAAAAAAATATCTAAATCTGAAACGATTTAAATTAATATCACACAGGTTTTTCAAAACTCTAGGTACGTAGGTCCCTTGGTGTACCATTCCCCTGATATCGATCGAAATACAAGCGATAGAGTTCGTTCTTGTCCCCATGAGGTATGCTAAAAATGAAGCTCATGGTTTTACAATTTCTACTTTCTTATGGTTTGGTATTAAAAATATAAAATGCTGCACTTTTCCAGTATTAAAGGTTTAAGCCAAAGCATACCCAATATATATTTGGCATTCAGTATTCTTGGTGAATAAAAATGTTCTTCCCAGAATATGTGCAATATACGTCTATGTTTTTACATAGCCCCCATAGAAAAGTCCAGTTTTATTTTCGAGGTTTCGAGGTCAATAAATCCCATACAATGGCATTATTCGAAATTTTGTCAAATTTTCTAACGGATTTTGCCGAAATATATGGAAGTTTAATAGGGTGTATATAAAATATTCACAAAAGTCTTGGTGCAGTGCGATCCCAGAAGGAAATGTGGGGTTTTGTCTAATATTGTGGCGACATGTCTCCATATTTTCAACAACATGTCTACATATCATGTAATAAGAAGAAGCATTTGTTATGTTAACGGTTGTGCTTCTTCTTATTTTTTTTTTTTTGGCGGCAGCAGATAAAACCGCGAGTTTAAGTTTTGTTGTTGTTCTTTGTGATCCAAGAAAAAGAGTTTATTTTTGATGGCGGGCATGATAACACCTCTCTGGAACATCGGAATCCGGAAATTCCAACTGTGTACATATCTGGCTAGGAGTTTTGACTTCGCACAACAATGAACAAAATGGCGGAACTTTGAATTTTTTTTTCTTTTTTGACCACAATCTAAGTTAAAAATTAAGGAAGGTCCCCATTTCCCAGAGAAACGTGTCAAAATTTGGAACCGATTAGAATATTAGTTTTTGAGTTATCGTGACCGCCATTCGTAAATCACTGCTTCGAGAAAAATGCGTTTACAGTTTGAGAATCACTCTTGCCGTCACTTGATGCTAACACAATAAATCGGCTATATCTTCAAGAGGTCTTGAGATTTTCAATTGAAATTTTGTAGGGACATTCTAGAATTAGAGTAGATTCGAATTAAATCAAAAAATATTTGACACCGAGTGATTATTTTGAAAGCATTTAAATCTCATATGGTCATATCCATCAAGAACCGTGTATATGCCTCCCCCATCTATTTTGGATAAAATTATTCACGTATCGCTATATGTTATGATGCAATTGCTCAGGAATATGGCTTATAAATGGTGATGTGATTTCTTAATCCTGGTCGTTCAAATTTTATAACGTTTAAGAATTAAATCACTTAATTTTTATTTATTAACAATGGTTCTTAGCATGAATTGGAAAGAAAATAGTATGAAAACGGAAAAGCTCTCAATTCGTGAACGAATTTCCGTTATAAATCCTTAAATGTCGTAGAACTATTCAATAGCTAACGATGGTGTAGAATAACGCTAGAAAAACAAATATTTTTTGGTTCTCAGTGGTTTGGTTCTCACCTAATTCGGATCATAAACGTGACTTGTACTTTGTTTACAGTTTAACATGGGACATGCATAAATCGACTGAGAAAGTTATTCTTTGCTTATGCTCAAGGGAACCCTGTGTTTATCTCGTTTCCTTTTGTCTGTTACAAACATATGCACAAAGATATAATACTCAGTACCACAGTTTGGTACAGTCCCGCGAGATCCCAATGTACGTTGCTTCAAAAGGTTACCTAGTCATTTGCTGTCAAGATCAACAAAATAGAGGTTTCTAACTCCAGCTGCAGAAAAACATACCCTACTATCACTGAGATGCTACCATGTTTGAATGTGGGAATGATATTATAAGGAGATAAGCCCATATTGATCTCTCTCAAAATTTTTCCGCGTCCATCCGATATTTTTGTATGGAATTTGGACTTATCCGCGATTACGATTATTTTCCAGAAGTTATAATCCTTATTTTGATACTTTGGCAAAAAAAATATAGCTTTTTGACGACGCGAACAATTTTTTCTGACAATTTGTCGATGTAATTTCGCTCTGTTTGAGGTGTAACACAAATTTCAAAATCCCGTTTCAAACTTACAGCCAGTTGTACACCACATACAGAAGGATAATTGCGGATTTGGCGAAATAGAAACGATCGTGCCTTCTTGATAACTTGGAACGGTTTATATTTTGTAGCGCTTTTTCAATTGGTCACTTTTTTATAACTGGATTGTAGTGTAGAAACACTGCGCTTTATTATATTTGCAATATTCCGTAACGATTTTCCATCAATGTGAAAATCTATTACAATTTTTCGTTGTTCGTCTGTTTACATAATTTTCTACCTATATCGAGTTGTCAAACTTGAACAGCGCCATCTAGATTTTTGTTTTTCATATACAAAATGAATGTCATAAATTTTTGGATTTTGTTCGTTACTTATCTGTTATTGTTAGTGATTTTTTTAAACTTCTCATGGTTGTCCGAATATGGATATTGAATAGCGAACATTTTGAATTATTAGTTTTTGGAAAGATAGTAATAACAACTTTAGACATTTTCTTTTCATGTTGCTCTTGCTTGCCCATTAAGAAGGTCAACTCCACAGGCACTAACGATCATGTGTATAGTAGTTTTTCCATGTTTTCAGCATAAGGTAGCATGGTTTACACATTTATTTACTGTTTCCATGTATGATGAAGGTGTTTGTTATATGTGAAATGATTCCTTTACCAATAACGAAAAACAGGCCAAATAAAAATAACCATCTTCAAATGTTTGTTCATACAAAAAGGTCTGCATGTACAATACACATTTTGGCGCGTGGTTTTACCAAATACGTCACCTACATAGATGGTGGAAAAGGGTAATCGCAGGCAATAAAATTATTAAATATTGACAATAAGAAAACGCGCGAAACTTGGTGTTATATTTCACATGGTCTCAGGTAGGGACATTATTGATCACATACATAACTACTACATATTTGGTACTTATTAGATCAGGTAACTATTCTGGTGTATATAAATGACATCATTTCAACGCAATTGGTATCAGTCACAATTGGAACTCAGCAAAGAACGATTTCAATTAAACTATTTCTTTATATTTTGTACAAAAAGTAAATTCTAGTAACCATGATTTTGGCTGCTCGTAAACATTTGTTCGCCGCAAACATTTTCTTTTTCTTCCTCATTTTAATTTTACAAAAATTCATACAAATCTTTTGCATCATCGAGCAGAAGACCTGCAAAAACTCCAATTGTAAATCGGATAAAGCCTGCAGTGGAAGTTGTGGTGCATCAACAGCGAAATCTCCTTCATCATCCAATATTCCAACGACATCAACTAAAAATCAGCCAAAGAATTTTGGATTTCTACCAATGGCAATTGATAAATCCATGTGTAATTTTAGTTACGGAGAAGGCAATAACCAAATGTTCGTTCAAGAAAATGGTATTATACTAATCTAATACATCTAGTTATATGTTTATATTTTATTTCATAGTGCAATTAAATATGTTATTTATACAAATTAATATTAAATATAAGTCTCATATAAGATTATGTAAAAGCTATTAACATGTTCTTATATAATAAATACAAATATTAAACTATTAAAAATAAAAAATGTGTCTATCTTTCCAAAGAGGTCACTAAGTCCGAAAATTTTTTAAAATCTTAAAATAAAATGTAGGAG